TGGATGATTTCATGCCCCAGTGTCCATCAGTCAACCCATGCACTGGCCTCACTGGTTGGGTGGTTCTGGGAGCAGTAGTCCAATAAAGTAACTTTTCCATGCTCCTCTTGGAAAAATGGAATGGGGAGCTGTATGAATGGGGAGCTGCTGGCTCCAGATATTTTGGGTTAGAATTCCTATGAATTGGCTATGCTGGGTGGGGGCTGATGGAATCTATAGGCCAAAAATCATCAGGACAAAAGATTTCCCAAGTGCTTACAAGAATGTAGTTTCACCTTCTGTATTTTAGTATATTTAACTCCTTTAAAATACTGAAAATTATAGTATTTTCTATGGAAACTAGATTTACATGACATATTGGGAAATAATCTGCACTGGGATAACTATACAAATTAACTTGTAGTGGTAATCCTACATCCAAAGGCTTTATATATAACGATCTTTTCTTATGTTTTATGTTCTATTAAACATGTAAATTTTGAGGTTAAAGCTTTCATATCCCTTTATAGAGCAAGAAAGCCAGGGAATCCCTTGATATTACTTGTCCACGACATAAAGAGATGCTTAACAATGTTTGTGAAAGCAGGCTCGCCTATGATAATCTGACAGACTGGGGAACCACGGAATAGTTAACTCTATAACCAGAGCAGTTGTTTGTAATGTGGGGTTGCTCTGCTGGTCTTCACCACCCACCCACCCCGACCCTTTCTCCCACCTCTCTTTTGCTCTTGTGAGGTTGTCTGTGTTCTGTTTCCTCCAGGAATGTTTACAATAGAACACCAAACATAGGTCAAAAATTACTGCATGTGAGATGCAACTACACACCCAAGACTGGTAGAGCCAATGAATGTTTTACTTGTTAATTTTATATTTCATCCAGTATTTCGTTTTTATTTGTCTGACAAAGTGAACGTGTCCACAAAAGCTCACATTCAAATATATTGTTTCTTGTTTTGTTTTGTTTCTTTGGATTTTGCCTCATATGCTTGCACAAACTAACACAACTCTTCTAAAACTACAGTTCTTAAGAGTGGGGTCTTAAGATTTCAAGGTCAAAATTTTTCAAGGTATTTGATGCTGCATTTGAGTGGGGTTCCTGTGGGGTGTGAAAAGTTATTATATTCCATCAAACATTCTGACTACAAAACCCAGAGTAGTCTTCTCACTTATCATTTGAGGAAAGAGAAGCAGACAAATAAACAAAAGAAACCACTCACTTCAAGCAGCAAACGGAACAGTACCTCTTATTTCTAATAACTAGTCAACGCAGCTGGGAAGAGGGTAGGATTTTTGCTGTACTGCCTGTTCAAGCTAGACAGTTTATATAAAAAGTCAAGGTATGTAATGGACCCAATATTTATTCTTGATAAGAATTTGTGTGATTCTGTGAAAAGAGCAAACAAAGGAACTGTTAAGAGAGAGCATTGTAGCACACAAATCTACTGACCTTAGATAAGCTAGCCTGCTGGACATTCTGGTGCTGCTTCTATTAAGTGACATGTTTTAGCAACAGTTTATTTATACTGTAGATGCTGTCTGTGTGTTCTTCTTGTCTCCCTAATCTCATCAGCAGTGCTTTTTAGCAGCCAGTAATGTCTAAGACTTTGCCAAACAGTTCTGCTTTCTGTACTAGATTGAAATGCTGATTAAACCTAAGAAGTGGGAATCCAAAGTAACTCCTGAACACCCTGGGCTTTTTCACTACTGTGTCTTTATGTGGCACTTTTCTTTTCCTCTTCAACACTCTTTAAATAATTGTCTGTGCGATGTTGTTTTGCTTGCTTGCTTGCTTGTCATGTTTTAAATCACTTTACATTAACAGTTTCTTAATTCTTTCACATGTTTAATCTCATTGTTAATGTTATAATTCAAAGAAGAAAAAATACAAGAGAGGGCCTTGCCTGTCGCTGTTCCCAAACTTTGGAACTCCCTCCCACATGAGTCTAGGCTGGCCCCATCTTTGCTGTCCTTCCGCAAGCAGGTGAAGACCTTTCTCTTCAGGTAAACTTTCCCTCAGTGACTGGCTGCTTGAGAGTGATCTTTTAACCAGATTGTTATTCATGGCTGCTTTGACTATGTTTTTGGTATTGCTTCTGCTTTCCATTTCCCAGAGTGGTATTTGTTCCTTTTTAATATGTCAATAATTAGTGTATTCAGCTTTAAATATTGCCCTTTAAGGATGTGAGCTGCCTTTCTGTATTCACTGTTTTTAGCTTTAAATACTAATATTTTAATGATGTACCCCACCTTTGTATACTCATTGTTTTTTATCTTTAAAGATTGTCTTTCAATTGAATTAGGCCACTTTGGGTCCTTTTTAAGGAGAAAGGCAGAGTAAATATATTTTAACTAACTAACTAGCCGCCTAGAGTGGTCCTGACCCAATCAGATAGGCGGGATATAAAACAAACAAACAAACAAACAAACAAACTAACAAACTAACTAACCTCAATCTCCCCCCACAATTTTGTAAGATATATTGGGTTCCTGACTAGGAGGAAGAAATGAAATAAATTACCATTCACAAAGAAACTTCAAGCAGGGGAAATCCCAGAACCTGACTTCTCTTTTTATCAGTTAAACACTTCTCTCCCAAATAAAAAGCAATTGTCAGGGCTGTTTTTTTGAAAAGCATGAGGTAGTGAGCAGAGGAGGGTATCCTGTACACCATCTTTATTGCTATCATTGTTGTCAATATTCAGGCTGCCTGCCTTTTGATATGTAAAACTTGTTTCCCTTTTTATTGCTGGCAACACAGGCACAATATTGTCCATCTATATCAGGCCATTTCCAAACATTTTGTTTGGGCTGTCCCCATTTTTAGAATTGCCTTGTAGAATTTGGAAGATGAGTAATGGCACCTGGACTTCTTTCTTATTACCTTGAAATGTTTTGCTACTCATCCAAGTAGCTTCTTCAGTCTGATGAGATATACCCCTGATATATCCTTCAAGTTGGTTCTACTTCCCCTTAGTCTGAATAGGCTTGTTAGAATGACAGAGGACAGTGGGAGGGAGGGTGATCGAAAATCCCACTTCTGTAGTTCTTCCCCACCCATCCTCATGGGTTGTTAATGCTTAGTCTGAATAGGCTTGTTAGAATGACAAAGGGCAGTGGGAGGGAGGGTGATTGAAAATCCCACTTCTGTAGTCCTTCCCCACCCATCCTCATGGGTTGTTAACCCATTGTTAATGGGACAATGGAACAATCTGAGACCCAGAGCCCAAAGGAAAAACCTGGTCATTCCTTACATGGTGGGTGTGTCTGACAAGCTCAAAAAGATTTTTGGTAAACACCACATACCCCTGCACTTCAAATCCACACACACTAAGGCAGAGACTCATCCACCCAAAAGACCAGACACCAAAGCACAACAGGAGCAATATAGTATATGTGGTCCAAGGCAAAGACGAGTGTCCGGAGCTCTACACTGGAGAAACCAAACAAGCAATAAACAGGAGAATGGTCCAGCACAGGAGGGGCAATGGCTCAGGACCACAATCATCAGTGTTCCTTCATTTGAAGGATAAAGGACACTCCTTTGAGGGCCAAGATGTACTCATTTTGGACCAAGAAGATACTGTAGGTGGTTTGAGAGAGGGGTTTGAGAGTGGGATCTTCACTCTCCACCCCCACCCCCCTTTGTCCATCTAAGGAGCCTATTCAGACTCAACTTGCAGAGAACCTCACCTGGATGGCTGAGAATCTTCACAGATATATATGCCTTGTGGAATGTTGATTTGTTCTGCCAGCACAGTAACATCATTGCACTCTCATGCAATAACAACAAATGTTCCATTGTTCTGTGATAAAGTTGGAGTGTCGTGTACGTTGTTGTTTGCATTTTAATTTCAAAACAGTGTAACAATTGTGGCAATAAGATGAAACAAATAATCTCATCCTTGCTTAAAACACAGGTAACTCTTGCAGATTTTTGGAGACTGGCAAATTTAGTTTTGAGGGCAAGATATTTTTGGAGGGAAAAAATGGAGTCCTGTGCCAACTTTCAATAAACAAAAACAATTAACTTTATTTAGTGTTAAGGCCACCAGAAGACTTCCTGGCCTTTCTGTTACACTGAAACGAACAGGTGTTTAGAGAAATATGCACTAATAGAAACCAATGGAAATATATTTGATTTTGATGGAAGGGAGGTAAAGGGACAGCATTCTCTGCTGTAGTTCCTTTCCCAGCCATGAAAGCTCTTTCTCCGATGTGGCTCTATTTCTCTGTCTTAGAGAAAACCCTCCACCCCACCCCACCTTTTTCTCTCTTGTCTGGTCTTTAGTAAATAGGAGAAGGCAGGGCGTTGCGTCCCGGGAGTTGGATTTCACTTCCTGTCACCTGGAGTCTTTTGTCTACTTCTTGAGTGCTTTTTAAGGGCACACCTGAACTCCGGGCAGCTAGGAAGGAGTTAAAGGCCGATCTGTGTTTGGGAAGCACACCCTCTCCGGGCGCAGGCTAGCCGATGAGTCAGTTTCACCTGAAACTCCACCACAGGTAGCGAAGGCACCGAGGCTAGCCGGCCCCGAGAGCAAGCAAGAGGACGGCTCCGGAGGGAGAAGAGAGAAACCGCAGGAATAGTCAGCCGCCTGGGCTGCGTGAGAGAAACGCTCTCGCTTCGTACGTGACCTTCCCAGCCACCCGCCTTAACTCTCGGCGAGGCAGAAGGATCGAGGTGGACGCGGGGTACCCAAAGGAAGCGCCCCCCCCTCACGGATGCACCATTTGGGAACTAAGCTGGGGGAAAGACAAGCGATCCGGTGATCGGGTCCCTGGAAAGAAGATTTAAAATTCGTTCACAAAGAAGATCCCGGGGTTTTACCATCCAAAGGACTTAGGTAAAAAGGCAACACCTGGAGAGAAGTTGTTGCTCCGAGCGATCGTCCTTCCGCATTTTTGTTTGCGCTTCTCCTCCTCGGAGAATTAAGGAGATTTACAGGAACAAACCACAGTGAGAAACCAAGTTTCCTCACTCCCGCCTT